TCTCTTTTTTAGGCAGTCACTGTTACTGATTACCTGTGTGCTTTTCAGAAAGAGTCTATGCCTGAACATATATGCATATTGTTTGGGGTTTTTTTTGTACACAAATGGTAAAAAACTATACATAAAGGTGTGCCCCTTGCCCTTTTTTTGTTGTTATTCTTTTTATTTCTTCCATACATGACAATAGTGGAATGCATGACAATCATCTCATTCTATATCAGTGTGTAAGTAACAATACACCTAATTATTTTCTGGTTTCAAGAGATTGTGCTGAATGGATACACTATAATTCATTTAATCTTCTGTTGATAAATGTTTAGGTTGTTCTTTTGCTATTACACTACAAAAATTGAACCTAATATTAGTATACATATCTATGTAGGTTATAGTTATAAGATGGAGTCCTAAAAGTATAGTTTGCACAAATATAGATAAATACCATGTTATTAGGTGTTGTGATTCAGAGGGCTTCTTGGAAAACTTTGCCAACACCTATCTTAAGAATCAACAAATTAGAAAAAATACTTAGAGCCAGTTTTTTTTTTTTTTTAAGACAGCACTGACACTGGAACCTATATGGGATTCTAAAATAGTTACTCTGCATTTCTATGAAAATATGAACGTTTCATACATGGAGATAGATTTTATGCCTGTAGAGGTCATTTTGGGGAGACAAGTCAGGATCAAATTTTGGTTTGGCTTCTCCCTAGCAAAGGGAAGTAGTTTATTCTTTTTGAAACTCTTGCATTATCTGTAGGATATGGTGTAATACCTAACTACCTCATAGGATTTTTATGAAAAATAAGTGAGATAATGTACATGATGTGTTAATTCATGCTTTGCAAATTGTTCAATAAATAGTAGATATCAGTTTTTAAAATGAGTGAAATAAGCCACTTTTCTTTAAAATTAGTAGTTTGTTATAGTAATATAAAATATTCTATGATGCACAAATACATACTTGTAAATCACTGATAGATATTTTAAATTTTATAACAAATAATACTGATATGACCTCTAGCCAATTTCAAAACCTGAAATTATTAAACATAGCCCAATGAAATGTTTATAGCTTAGTAATTCTTAAATTGCACCTAGAAGAGTTGCCATTATCTGATGCATAGGTTCTTGGATCTACTCTGTCCAGGTCATTTAAGATTCTCTTGTTAAATGAATTACTCCATATTCTTCAGCAAATTTATTTTCCATTTATATTATCCAGCTGTTTTCAAATATGCTACAGAAGGATTCAATATACTTCCTTGATCAGTAGCAAATTTTAAGGCTATATCTTTTTTGAAACGTTCACTTTTTTCCTGCTCAGTCTGATTATTCCTTTTGATTCAATTATACCATGTATTCACATTTTCTATTGAAACAATTGCTCAGTGCTTAAATTGTTGGGTAAATCTTATTTTTTTGAAATTAAAAGCATGGTTTTATTTTCATATTAGGAAATTATAAGTAAAACAATATTGCTTCAAATATCACTGTAACATGGGGAGCAACCCAAAAAGTCTACAACTAAGTGCACAAATTAAAATGAAGCAAACCAAAGAATAATTAATAAATATAAAGCAAGAACTGCAACAACGAAAAACTATAACCCTATCATAACCATTGTATTATGAAGAATCAATGAAAAATTACTGTTTCCAAAAAGGTACCCACAATTGGATCTTCTTTTGTTCGCACACTATGAGCTTTGCTATTTAGGCAGCCATTGCTTGTCATGTGCTTTATGATAATTTTTGGAATACTAAATAGGCATTTCCAAGGTATTATAAGGATAATATTATTTTATAAATATCAATGTTCAGTTTACTTATTTGATACTAGGATATTTCTCCTATTCATCCACAAACATGAAAATCAGTGAGTTTGGAGTTTATTTTCCATTGGGAATAGAAAAGAGAAATACTTTAAGAACTTTTTCCATTAAGAAAACTTCACATGCAGGTTGCTGAAAATTCTTGAAATTGTGTGTCTTGCTCATTTAATTAAGTTTACTCATTTTCTAATCAAAATATGTTTCTTAACTGTCCTTTTTGTGCATAGTAGATCTGTTTAATATAACTGGAAGACTTTCAAGTCAGTTGAGTCTTGGATTTCCAAACCAAGTTATTCACAGAATATAATAATAAAAAAGGAAAAAGTGGTTTATATGTACAATTAGTTTCTTCAGTGAAAAACTTTATCACCTTAAATGTAACTGTATACTAACTTACATGGTATTGTATATGAAGGAAATATCGACATACAATATAAGTTGAATCCATCAAACTCCTATGTGGCATCATAGATTTTTTTTCCCAGCATTTCATGAGTGATGATTGTATTGAAGTTCAAACAGAATAGCTCAGGGTCACACCACTAATACACAGTGAAGCAAAAATATGAGTAATCGTTTTCTAAAAGCTCTGTGTCCTTACACATTTCATGTTATCTGAGCTAGGTAACCTTCGTAGAAAGTTACCATAAGCTTACAAAAGTACAAAGAAGTGATGAGTAGCATAAGTAATAACAGCAGAATCAATAAGTTAAAACAGAAAATGACACTCAGATGGTGCGACATTGAAACCTATCTTTATGTAGTTTATAATTTTGCCAAGGTCAAACTTGCCTCAATGCCTTTGTATATACTCTTTTCAAATTTAGTTTTAATCAGCCTGGAGGATCAAAGGTGATTCAAAGAGATCATATGATTAACCAGCCCAGGCTTTGGGGGAAGGAAGTATTAGGAAAGCATTTTAATAGTGGACTTGATAAAAGGAAGGTCATCAAAGTACATTTATATTTGAACATTAAAAAGCACTTCTTTGAAGTGCTTCCTGATGAGATTCCACTTAGTTAAATATTCCTCCAAAATGCTCTCATCATTATATCCAGATAGGGGGAGAGATGGTGGACTGGTATAAAGTTCCTGAAAAAATAGAGCTATAGTCTTCTCATATTGAGAGCTATTTATGTTTTTTACCTTTTATTACACAGTATATATGTCTGCTTTCTCTATGTAAACAATGACAATTTTTATCTACCCCTTGATCTTTATGGAATTTCATGCTCCTTTAAATTAAGCTAATGCATCAGAAATGTATATATTCTGATGCACAAATTGTGTTTTGATTGATTTAAATGGTGCATTTGAATTTATTGATTGAGTCATAAAACAACCACTCTGCTAATTGAGATAAAACTTACCTTCTAATGAATATTTCCTCTTAGAGGAGGTGTGCTTCACACAATAATGATTAGTGGGTTTTCTGTTGAAAACAACCAGATTGATTTCATTTTAACACACTTCTTCATAAAATGTTTTTGCAATTATTTATTCAACTTCCCCTTTGCCAACACTTCACATTATGATATGGATTAATCAAAACCTTTTGTGTAGTTAGTCCTGACATAGGCTTTACTGGTAATCTTGCCCCTTAAAAGGATGATTATCAGGAATCTTAAATCACTCTATCACTTTTCCAGTACTTCAATATCATTCCATTGTGTAATTAGAAAATCATCAGAAAGTCTATAATGAAAGAATTTTCTAATGACTATATAGAAATCACAACACACCCAAAAAGCTTGGATTTTTTTCAGCCACACAAGAAAAATTTTCAAAATCTGCCCATAAGAGTGTTATTTATTTTACTTTATTTTCTGTATTTGCATGTAATTATTATTTATTTTTAAATGTTAATGTTTGCTGGGATTTGTAGGACTACTTCTGACTTCAGTGGAGTGACCTCATTCATCATCTAAGTAGGAGAAACACTCTAATATAAAGAATGTTTTTTAGGATATATGAAGATCCCTACTCTTAGCTGTCATAGGAAATCTGAACAGCTCATTAAATGTTGGTGTCAGTGTCATCAGCAGTGTCCCAACAATAACTTGGGATCCTTGAATGCTGTCCTGTGACAGAGCCAATGTAAGTCTAATTGGCAGGCTGGCAGGCTCAGTGGCCTCACTATTGCTATAATCTTCACCAAAGATAGGAATAGGAAAACAATAAAATACTAAATAAATGGTGCTTTAGAAATGAGTGTGCTATTATATCATACACGTATATTAGTTCCAGAAGACATGTACTTTTTGCTAAAATTACTTTAATAATGTTATGATGTTCATATTGGAAATGTGAATCACAATTAGCAATACTGAAATACATGAAAATGTTTTTAAATTGTAAAAAGTAAAAACTTTAAAAAATTATATGAGTACAGGAAATAATATTTTCACATTTAGTATGGGGAAGGATACCTATCAGAAGACAAATGTCATACAGTACACAAGAACATGGTTTATACTTTTCTCAAGAAAATACATCCAAGATTTAGCAATTCTGCTCATAAAGAAATATCTATAAAGTAGTATGAAATATGTCACAAGAAGATTAAAAATGATTTTATCAACAAGATTACTAGAGTACTACTTGAAACATTCTACATGTAATTTTCTTTCAAAGTTTATGTATAAATATTCATAGGTTTAAGTGAATATATGTACATATGTGTATCTGAACATATATACACATAAATATCTTAACATAAAAAGTTTACATAAATATGAATATATGTAAATACATCAATTAAATATAGCTAGTGAAATTTATGAAAAACACTATGTGCATCAAGACTGATAAAACTAAAAAATCTATGTTGAATAAAAAAAGAAAATTGTAGGAATCGATATCTAACGTTTTATTACAAAAGAACCATCTTCCGCCTTTTGTATTGAAAGAATTGCACCATTTGGTTTTAGGCAGAAATATGAAGTTTAATGTCATAAAATTCCTGACCTGAAATAATTTGCAAAGTTTCCAGATAGGTTAGGTCACATGACTCACTGATGATTGAAAGTCCCTTGCTAATCTTATCTTCCCTAGCAGTTGCTAGTAGAGTGTGGCATTGCAACTGCAAATCTCTGAGAGGAAAGACAATAAACCAAAGATATTTATTCTTCCAAATCTTTCACTGAAACACAATTTAAAAATGATATATATTAAGATTAAAAAAATCAGAACATAAAACATCTTTTACACCATGTATGTGTTCCACTTCATTAGTGAAGAGGGCAACTAAAGTTCACAATTTCCAACCATGAAAAGGCAAGTGAATGAGCTGCTGAGGATAAAGAACCAAATTAAACACTTACCATTATGAGGTTGAAAATTGACACAACCACATTAAATAAAGACCTACCTATTCATTCAGTCTTGTTATCTATATTACCTCAGTAGTTAAAACTTTTTATCATCCTTAATTATGGTGTTCTAATCATTATTATATTTCTAGGGCTATAGCTACTTAGTGATATGATAGTTATCACCAAGTAATCTGTATTGATGGAAATATTTCTAGTGAAAATTAAACATTGTAGACTGTAGTAGCTACAAAGTATAGCAAGTAGTATGTTATTAATGAATGTAAGAACTATAATTGGACATTTTATCCTTTAAATTATGTTTACTATAAACTTTCTATATATACAATTGTATTACCTTTTGAGAAATAAATATTAAAATTCAAAAATTTAGATAATTTCAGTTCAGCTTAAAAAGATTGAAAAATGAATATAAATATAGAAAAGTAATTGACTTAAATAAATTAAAAAATAATTATTTAAATAATAGGAAAAAATCAAAGATTAAGAGCTTCAAAAAAAAAAGTAGAAACTATCACATGAATCAAAAGAGAAAAAATAAACAATATTCACTTTTAAGAAGTAGAAACTAAGCTGAGCGCTATGGTATATGTCTATAATCCCAGGCACTCTGGAGACTGAGATAGGATTGCAAGTTCAAGGCCAACTTCAGCAATTTAGTGAAATCCTCACAACTTAATTAGACCATGTCTCAAAAAATAAACAGTACTATGGATAAAGCCAGTGGTAGAACACTCATGGGCTTAATCCCCAGTACCAAAATAAATAAGTCAGTACCATCTCATTTATATTGCAAATGAAAAAAATCAGATGAATTCAGGGGGCACTATTTAATAAATAGACTATATAAGCTGTGTAAGTATTATGCACAATTAGATTCGCTTAATAGCATGGGTGACTATTTGGACAAACTAATGATCATACAAAAATGCAAGAAAGAAACATACATCATGTTTGATTTATATTTTTCATTTACCTAATTAGGTTTAAATTTATTAAAATTAAAAGAATGCCCTAACCAATATAAACTTTCAAAAGATACTGGCAACAAAATATTTATCTACACAATTTCTAAAATGTGGACATGATTCTAAATTCAGAGAAAATAGTAATAAAAACTCAAAATGTGTGCTTTGTGATTTTTTAAAATTATACCCACAAAGTGATTTTTCCACATAAAATATTAATAGAATATTTAAAAGAATAAATGCAAATTAAATGGAATGTCACTCTTTACTTCCAATTCAATGACTCTTCCCTTGATGTTCTAATTTTGACTGTAAGAAATCAGCATTATTTCCCTTGGTAGTTTTGCACAATGTTTGAAATCTAAGTTCTAAGATCTAACAACTTGTCAGTCAAAATTGAAACTTGATAATTATTATTAGATAAAAGATAACTATTCTGTAATATTTGCCTGAACTAAGACGCCAGTAATCTATGACACTCAAATAATGCAATGTTAAATAGTTATCATTCACACTTTTATCAGAGAAGTTTTTATTATCTTAGTATTTTCTTAGTGAATAAATAAAACAATCAATTAAAGGATTAATTTGTAAAATATTCACATGAAACATTTTATTTACATTTAAGTTCATGGATGCTAAAATCTATCACCTCTTCCTGATAATAATCAGACCAGAGTGGAGATTCAACTCACAAAATGTAAGTGAATTCTGCTCAACTCCAAAATTTTCATAAACATGACATGGTTAATTACCTCTTTTTTGTTTGATGATCTCTCAGTATGTTTCTGTGGCATCAGCTAGTAACCCATAAAGAGGATTAAAAGCATTTGATTTAGAAGTGCTTTATCTTTCCAGAGAGTGAGGGTGCTTCCTTCAACTTATGTATCAGTCCCCACACCCATAGCCACTATTTCTGTAGGTAAGGGATCATTTAAAGCCACTATTTCTGTAGGTAAGGGATCATTTATCAACTAATAGCATTTGTGTTTCACCTTTAAGTTTCTAGCTCCCTACTGTAATCACATATTGTTGACATTATTTTAAATTGTATGCGTGTGTGTGTGTATATGTGTGTGTGTGTATGTGTGTGTATGTGTATATATATATACATATATATATATATATATATATATTTTTTTTTTTTTTTTGCACAGATGTACTGCAGTGATTTAAGTTGACCTTTGGAAAGGAAACACCAAGCAGGACAGATAATCTAAAGCTAAATGCTTAAATGTGTGTTAGTCGTGTGGAACTTCCCTCCTTTATAAAAAGACTATGAGATTCTGGAATAGTATATTTATCTGTTTGTCTTATTCAAATAAACTCTAGATTGAGTACTTTCAGAAAATGTTTCCAAAGGAGTAAATACTTTAAAAATGCTTCTATAAACAAATATTATTGGTAGAATTTCCTACAGAAAATTGGAATATGCTGCATCTCCTTTACTTGCCATTTTTTGATTATTTATTGTTAATTTTGTGACCATATTTTTGTATAATGTTAAATAACAGAACATTATATGAGAAATATTGAATAAATTTCAGTCAGCTTTCTATAACCCACAATATAAATACTATCGCTTACCTTTTCTTCCTTCATAAAGGCAAATTAACAAAAGTAACAAGATAAAACTTAATTTTTATGAAATCACAATGAAGTTATTTATCTTTAAGTTAAATAATTTTAAAAATAATACATGAGGATACAGAATATTGGGGTTCATTGTAGCATACTGATACATGCGTATAACATTCTTTGATCAATTTCATTCCTCAGTACCACCTCCACTTGCTCTCTCTTCTTCCCTCTTCTACCCTATTGTTCACCCTTGTATTTTCATGAGATTTGTTTTTTCCTTTTTTCTCTCTAGCTTCCACATATGAGGAAAACATATGAACCTACACTTTCTGAGTTTAGCTTATTTTGCTTAACATGATGCTCTCCAGTTTCATCCATTGTCCTGCAAATGTCATAATTGCTCATCTTTATAGCTAAATAAAGATCCATTGTGTATATATACCAAGTTTTCTTTATTCATTCATCTGTGGATATACATATAGCCTTGTTCCATAACTCGGTTATTATTAATTGTATTGCTATAACATGTACACATGAATTACTATATATAA